TGCTATAATATTCTTCATCTGGTTTTATTGTCTGAAATTTAGCACAGAATAGAGTCAGTACATGCATACATAGGGCCAGCAGTGCAGGATGTGAGAGGCTAGGCTATCGGAAAAACATGGCCGTGTAACCAGCCTCTCACATCCCACATTTGCGTCATTCCATCAATTAAATTTTCTCTCTGTACATGTACATTTATACATTTCTTTGTGAATTTACTCAGACCATCATTTCCAGTTACCGTGATCCCAACTATATGGGTTGAACACAATACGGAACAAGACAATATAGACCAGAAAATAAAATTCCAGACCATGAATGCTAACCTGACCAACACAAGGAAGCCCATCTGAATCAATTGAACGATGCCTCTCAATGTTACTTTCCCTGAAATATTTCCGAGAACCATCTGACCTGCTCTTTTGATCAGACAAGTCAACCGTTTCTGTCTGCAAAACCCATCATTTGGTGAGCTAAAGAAGCACCAGTGAAAAATTAATAAAAAGCAGAGCATATGAACGATACTTTTGGGAACATGAATGTTCATAGTGCCATCTAAAATAGACCTAAAAGATGAATAAAAAAGTTTTAAAAAAGCTATTTATAGTACTGCAGTGCAACATTGCAAGAAGAAACCTGATATATTTGTCCATGAAACATTCCACGCTCCACAGATGACTCGTTTAGAATCATGGCATCCTCCATATCATACCTAGATTTCATATGATGCTACAAATCAAAAGAAACGACTATATATATAAGTATTTTTTGTCTCAAAGTTTCTCACCCAGTATATGACAATACAGCAATGATTGCAATTGTGCCGGTTGGATATTCATCCATGCAGTACTTCTTATATGCACTTGTGCGTACAATGGGATATTACTTATTTTCGTTTGGGTGTCTTATTTAAATTTCTATAGAGCCCAAGAGCCTATAATATTTTAATCGTATAGACAAGCGGATATACCCTTTATGTACCATAATATGGATTTTTCTTTTTTAATCACTTGGATTAGTAATTACGTCTTAGTTATTATTTACTTAGTGATTACTAAACAAAAAAATGGAAACAAAATAGAAATACTATTTATTAAGTAATATAATTAATGAAGTTAATTAAAATATTTAATACTAATTATTCACTAAAGAAATAATAATTATAATATAATTAATAATTTAACTGATTAAACAAAATAAATAAATAAACCGCGTACAGCCGTACGGCTATACTATTTCAAACAAAGAAAATCAACAAACCGAGTACAGCCGTTCGGATATACGATTTAAAAACAAAAAAACCGAGTACGGCCGTTCCGCTATACTATTTCAAACAAAGAAAAAACCGAGTACAGCCGTTCGGCTATACGATTTTAAACCAAAAAAAACCGAGTGTAGCCGTGCGGCTGTACGATTTTATTTCATTTTATTTTTAAAAAAGAGATCCTCCATTACGTTTAGGGCATTACCAAGGTATAGCTATTGTCCCCTTTTGATTTTTTACTTTCCCAGAGTTATTACCCGTATAAAGAATTTAGCATTTCCCCATTTAATACTCGTATTATACACGTTCGTACATATTTTTCAATAATACTTCCGTTTTCCGTATACGTTTTAAAGACTCGTTATAATGAACGCAAATGTAAAATACACATATTGTATAAAGTACGCACGTATTTTAATGATTGCTCAATATCAAAGAACAAAAAACAAAGTCCACAAAATAATTCAAAACAATTCATTACTATTTACCAAGTAATTTACGAAATCAGTAAAATACTTAAATTTTATATTTTAAAATTTTAAAAAAAATTTGTTGTGAAAATAAAAGAATTTAAATATTAATTAAAAAAAAAGCAAAACACCCTCTCTTGACTTTATTTCGTCGGCACAGGTGTGCAGACCTCTCCCGACGAAAATACCTCTACACACGAAATTTCGACGGGAGAGGTTTTCTTAAAAAAATAAATATAAACTTAGTATCTTTAGGTCAATAATTTATAAAATAAAAAAATATATATTTTCAGTCATTGAATAATATCTTAGCCTGATTTAATTCCTTTCATTAGTAATTATGTTCTAACTATTATTTCTCTAGTGAATAATACTAAGTCATTTTATTTTTTAAAAAAG